TGATCCTAACCTTCACCAAGTATACCTTTCCTCACTTCCTCGAGAATTACAGCCAGAACTCCAACGATCTCTACTTGCAACCAAGAGAGAATTAAAGCATATCTCCATTGGAGAAATCCATCAACTGGAATTGGCAGCTCTCAACAAGCTCTGTGAGACACAAGAACTATTTTTCTCCATGATGAAAGAAAGATCTAAGTACAAGAAGGCATGTAACAAGCCTTACTTACATATCAAATGCAAGGAAAATAAGTGTTCTTGTGGCCCTCTAAGGCGTTATTACAGTGATCTTTTAAGGCAGTCTCGCAGGCCAAAGAGGTCTATTAAAAAGGAAGGAAGGAGATTTAGATTCTGCAGAAGAAAGGGACGTGGTAGTCTAAAGTCAAACCGTTGTTTCAATTGCGGAGAAAAAAACATTATTCAAAAAACTGTCCTAAGAAATCTGCCAAGTCAGCCAGAATCATCCAACAACTGCAAGCCAACTCAACAAGCAGTGATGAAGCAGATGCTGATCTGGAATCCCTATTCTCAGAACAAAAAGAACCAGATGTCGAAACTGTCTTCGCCATCCCAGAATCAGATCAGGATGACTTCAGCCCTAATGACATAGAAGAAGAAGGAGTAGACTATCACATCCCAGTCTACAACATGGAATAAGTTTCCATAATTGTTCCAACTCCTTATCTACCAAATGTTGAAGTCCAGATCCTTACTTTAAAGTATGATAATCGAGTAAACTTGGTCGTCTACATGGATACCGGTGCAGGAAGGACAATGATGAATCTAAAAGTCCTTCCTCGTGATTTTTAGATACCTCACATTGAATATTTCAAGGCTGCTAATGATCAAGTATTCAAGACAAAACTGATTACCAAAATGAAAATTGGTATCAAGTTCTTTCCTAGATGTATCATATGGACAAGAGTCATTGGAAGCTCGTTACCAGACAAAGATCTTTTTGTTGAAATGAACATATACTGCCAAGTAAATAATCTTTAAATCTTTCCTATAGGACTGAAGTATAAAAGGCAATTCATGCCTTACTCAACCATTCCAAAGATGTTCTCCATTAAAGAAGCTCTAACTCACTATGAAGAGATAAAAAACAAGCTTCTGAAATGCTGTGCTGACAGCCATGATAAGTTCCAGTACCCCAATCCTTTATGAAAAAATCTGAAGTTCTTCATAGAGTTGCCCTTCAAGAAGAATGAAAACATCAACCCAACTAAGGCTACTCACCCATGAATGACTCCATCAGATTTTGCCTTAGCCCGAAAAGAATGTCCACAGCTTCTCAAACAAGGATTAATCAAGCCCACAAAGTCAGATTGGGCTTGCTAGGCCTTCTATGTAGAAAAAATATCAAAAAAAGGTCAGTGGAAAGAAAAGGTTAGTAATTGACTACAAGCCTTTGAACTTGTTCCTGAAAGATGATAAATTTCCTATTCCAAGAACCAGCTCCTAACTCACTCATCTGAAGGAAGCCTAGGTCTTCTCAAAGTTTGACCTCAAAGGAGCATTATTTCTGGCAATTGGGAATTGATAAAAAAACATAGGTTCAAAACATCCTTATACATTCCAGACGCATAGTACCAATAATGAGTCTTGCCATTTGGACTCAAGACGGCCCCGTCACTGTTCCAGTGAACAATGACCTAAATCTTTGAGCCCATCATGTACATTGCCTTGATCTACATAGATGACATCCTGATGTTCTCAAAAGAAGCAGAGGCCCATAAAGTCTTACTGTCCTAATTCCATTAGATGGTGGATCAGCATGGCATCATGCTCTCAGAAAAGAAAATCTAGATATGACAAACTCAAGTTGAATTCCTAGGGATGCAGATATCCCAAGGAAAGTTTCAACTTGGCCCACACATAGCTCGAGAATTATTGACATTTCTATATAAGAACCTCACTGTAAAGCAGATTCAACAATTCTTGGGAATAGTCAATTATCTCAAAGATTTCATTCCACGCGTGACTAAACATACTAGCCAGCTATAAAAAATGTTGAAGAAGAATCGTCCTCAATGGGGAACAGAACAGACAACCACTATCATGACATTAAAGTAAGTGGCCCAGTCACCTCCACCTCTGAAGATTCCAAGCACAGGAAAAAGAGTCATGCAGACAGACGCAAGTAACCATTATTGGGGAGCCATTCTCATCGAAGAAGATAAGGACAAGAAACACTACTATGGACATGCCAGTGGCCAGTTCAAAGAATCAGAAAAATACTATCACACTATCTACAAGGAGATTTTTACGATAAAATATGGAATTTAAAATTTTGATTTCCATCTTAGAGGTTATAATTTTGAGGTCCATATGGATAATTCATCATTTTCTAAGGTCCTTGATTTTAAAAATAAAACTCTTCATGATCCACAATTACTCAGACTTAAAGATTGGTTTGCATGATATGACTTTTCCGTCAAGTATAGAAAATGCCATCACAACCTCATCCCTGATTTCCTAACTTGACCAAAACCAGTTCAAGTCATCACTCCCTGTAAAAATTTTCTACTCATCCTCATGACTACTAGTATCCATACACCACTATGTATACCTATAAAACCCAACCATTATTTTCTTCCTGGTCAAGATTGTTTAACCAAACCTGACCAAATCCAGTATTGCGCAAAAAACCATCTTTTTTATTATTTAACCAACGTATGCAATAGAACCAAGAATCCCCAGGCCAAGTTCTTGTACAATACAGAATAACTATACCTAGCCATCTACAACCTTCACCCTTTTACCGAGATCACAGAAGATGATATTTGGCACCTGTGGTGCCAAACAACTCTCTACCAGAGCATACTTAATTATCCACTCACGAACCTTTACACACAGCTTAATGATCCCAGCAATAAAGAATCAACTCTATGGCATCTCTTAGAAATGTTCTCTCCACTCATATGGTGGAGAAATAAAGTCTCAAGACTTTTCTAGAAATACAGAGTCTGGACTTTCTCCTCAGCGGAAGTCCCACCAATGCACACTATTTTCTTTCTACATCGGCCATACCTAAGCAGCTCAGAAACTCAGACACTGCATGCATAGAACATTGTGTATACTTGGTATATCAGCTTTAACTACCCTAGATCACTTGAAGAGATCACAGATCACCTCATCAAGTGCATATGCAGAGAAAATGGATACAAACCAAAGGCTACTTCACAAACATGTGTGAGTTATGCAATAGCTCCACCCATCAAGATCTGTGGCCCATACAACATATTCACTGTAAGCAACTGTAGCTTATATGAAGATACAACAACCTCCACTCTGGCACTTCCATCATTCTAGGACTCACAAGATCCAGGATTCTCAGGACCCAGAGTATGACTCATCACCCAACAAACGACGGAGACCCTAGTACTATCATGGATATGGCTAAGTGGATTCTGACTCATTAGATTGGTTCACTCTCAACCTATCTCCTGATTAGAACAGTCGTTGAGATCCTATCCTCTAGCTGGCACACACTTAGTCAAAAGTAACTTTATAAAAGTTACTTTGTAAAAAAGTAGTTCTTATCTTGTAATTATGACTTTCTTAGGTGTTCCTGCTTAGGTGTCTAGATAAGATTCTTATCTTATCTTATAATTATGACTTGCTTAGGTGTTCCTGTTTGGGTCTCTAGATAAGATTCTTATCTTATCTTGTAATAAAGTAGCTTTAAATAAGAAATCGACATGTGTAAAGTAGGTTAAGCTTATCTCTTGTAATCGTTTGTAAGCTTAAACTATAAATAGAGAAGCTCTCATTCAGAGCGAACCTTATAAACATTTCTCTTAAGCAATATACTATCTTCCTCTATGGGTTTCTAAATCACTGTTCTTCTTCTCTGAAATTCTGAGTTTCTTCCTTTGTATCATAATAGTTCTCCTCCTGACTAGAATGTTCTGTGCTTGACTCTAGTAGAGGACCCTACATAACAAAAATTTTAAGCCTAAGATCCTTGCTACGATCTCCATAACCATAAATGATTAAGTATTTGTGACACTAAAGGCCAAAGTCATGAAGGACGCAATGGCTATACAGTGTACAAGTTCTTGGTATTTATGGTTTTTAGAACTCTCGACAGTGATATTGTTAGGGATTAAACACGCATCAATTTTCTACGAACACATGTTTACGTTTATCATATAATAGGATAGGATTAAGAATGATAATTACAATATAATTATTAATAAACGACATTTCTAAGTAAACTAGTTCACAAATTAAAAGACAATTATGAAATTAATCCTTGAAAAAAAAACGAAAGTATTATTTGTACACTTGTACCAGTAGTAGTTAGTAAATACTATTTTCCACAAGTATACAATGTAAGTTTATTAACCACTAGTTCAACGGATGAAAAGTCGTGTCGCGTGATATTTTCTCCGTGTTTGTAATTGACGAAAGTACTGCAAAGGTAATGTGGCCTCAAAATTTTGCACAGAAATACAACCAAAAAAGAAAAAGGAAAAAAAATCTGTTTTGTCGCGAAAAAATTTATTATTTAAGCGGACAGTGGCTCTAGCAACAGTTTCCCTTATAGAGTGCCCGTCCCCACATATCCCCTTTTTTAGGTGTGGAATTGACGCCGTTGGATCTAAAAATGTCCCGGAGATTTGCACCTCGTACGTAAAAGCCTTCTGTGTATATATAATATATATATATTTCTTTTTTTTTTGGGTAAAAAGAAATAATAATAGAAAAAAGACAGACATCGGAAGGGAGACAGGTGTCCCTAATGTTTGATTACTCTGTCACAAAGTCATCAATTTTAAAATTTTGTATGACCTTCTCATTTTCTTTTATGTACTGCACGTGTCGCCCACCGGTTTGATTATGTTGACCTAATTTGTATTGGGTCAATGCTGTGCGCGAAATTATGATTGGAAAGGCTGTGATTTGTTTTTCTTTGTTAGTTTCCGTGGGATTGAGTACTAGGGGATTGGCGTCTCCATCGAAAGTGAATGCCACTGCTACGTGTGGGGTGTTGATGTGTGATCTATGAATGGAGGGTTAGCATAGGATGTAATGATGTAGAAAGAGAGAATATGGCGCTGAAGAATATAAGCTTCGGGAGATAGATATAGGAGAGACTCGTGTGCTTTTTTTCATTTTTAGAGAGAGAGAGAGAGAGAGAGAGAGAGAGATGAGGACAGAGACGATTATAGGCTTGAAGGACGATGATGTTCAAGCTGATTTATTAGTAAACGACGACTCTGATCAGAACTACTCCAAGTTTTCATCTCTCTTGGCGTCCAAAGATCGTGATTATCTTCTTTCTCCAAAGGGAAATCAGGTTCTACGATTATTCTCCTTTCTTATTTTATTTTTCTCCTCTCTCTCTCTCTCTCTCTTAAGTCTTTTATTCTCTCTCATGGTATTTTTGTGAAGCTATGTAGATCAGTTTTGTGACGTCCGTCAGGTAAATGGACTTGTAAAGCTTTTTTTTTGTGTGTGTGTGTGTGTGTGTGTTTCATGGTGTTTTAGTATGATCAATATTGATTCATCTTCATCAATTTCGAAGGAAAAAAAAGTAGACACATGTTTTTGCTTTTTTGTTCTATACTTGAAATTGATCTGGGGTGACATAATTAAAAGAGGAAGTATATGGTCCCCATCAATGGCCTAATTTTTCTGTTACCTAATTTTTTTCGTGAATATATCTTGTTTTAAAAATTTTGAAAGTTATGGAAGGGGGACTGGAGAGTTCTGAGAGGAAATCATGTTTACGCTCAGAGAGAGAGAGAGAGAGAGAGAGAGAGAGAGAGAGAGAGAGAGAGAGAGAGAGAGAGAGAGAGAGAGAGAGAGAGAGAGAGAGAGAGAGAGAGGGTTTCCGACACAAGAAAGAAAATACATGAACATAATAATAAAAAGAACGTGAAAAAAGAAAAACGTGATAGTGTTTCTTCTCAAATACTTTCCACGATATATTAATTTTGTTGCCGACAATATTGGATACATATAATTAATTAATATGTTTATATACATATTTTTTAGTCGATCGAGTTTCGGATAAATCAGTCTCCTATATTTGTTTTTTTTTAGAATATTGGATTAATGGATTGAAGAGTGATATATATAGTTCCTTTTATGACACTAGATGTTCTGAAGGGGAAAAAAAAATATTACTGGAATGTAAAAGTACTATTAATATCTACTAACCCTTGTGAGTTCTTTTGAACTTAAGTACTATTTGACAGTCAGCTGGTAGATTTTATTGATAATATACAACGGACAAGTATTGTCATTCGTATTCTGTTAACTATTTTCAATTTGTTGGGAATGGTTGGTTATACGATTGGTAGTATTTTTGTATCGTCTAGTTCGAACTACTGTACAAATTTATTTACTGAATTTGACTCTTTTTTTTTTTTTTTTTCTTCTTTTGAGGAAACTGATTTTTGGCTATTGTGTTTAGCTAAACCGCCTGGTAAATTATTGGTTTTCTTTTCTGAGAGGTAGCAAATAAAAATTATTGTATCTAGAGGTAGGGGTGTATTATAAATGTTATATTTTATGTGTCAAAGTAAATGAAAAAATTCATGTGCAAAGCCTAGCAATTAGACAGTAAATTTCATTCCTTAATTTGTGCATGGAATTGGATGCTGAGACTGCATGCTGTTTTCCTAGCTGAAATACATAGGTACTGATTTTTTTTTTTCTTTTTAATGTTTTGTTGGTGACTTCTGTTGCGCCTTCACTTTTTATTTTTTTTATTTTATTTTTTATTTTTTTAGAGTTCAAACCATACTAATTTTTATTCCTCGTTTTCTCTTAGGAAAAATTTAACTTTAAAAAGTTTTAATTATAGTATTTTCTCTCAAAAAATTTAAATTCTAATTCAAATAAGGTGGTTTGAACCCTCAAACCAAACAACTTATTCTTACTTATAGCCATTAAAACAGATTTTAGTACTCTCTTTTTTTCTCTGTTTGTTGATTGTTTATATGGGGTTGTGAAGTTTAAACTGTTTTCAGTTTTTGGCTTTTGATCAATAACTTGATGCTTTCTTGATCAAAATTCTATCGGAGAAGAAATACTATAATGAGGCACTGTTAACTGTTTGGATCTGGAAACTTCATCGTTCTACTTTATGACGTTGCATGCAAAAATATTGCAATCTAGCTGTGGCTCAATATTCCCCGGTCATGGTTAATATGTAAAAGCTATAAGAAACTAAAGGATCCTATTCACTAAGCAAAATCTCATTAACTAATCTTCAATGTTCTTTTCCTCCTCGTTCCACCCCTTTGTGTTTTTGTTTGTTTTTTTTTGGCCTGTTCATAGTTTGGGTTTGGGGTGCTAATTTGTAGATGGTTTGTTCATGACTTGGATTCTAGTTGTCACGAGGTACACATGCCAAAATAGGTGTCGTAATCAATATGGGGTTACCCTCTGGCTGTTATGGCCATTGACAGCCAAGCCGAAAGGACAGGTGTCATGTAATTGTACGTCCATTTTAGCGTCTCAATAACGCTACGATTGCAGCACGTGGCCCGGTTACACCTGTAAAATAGTAATTTGGTAGCACATCATTGTCAATATATATATATATATATATATATATATATATAAATTTTCTTTTATCTCATGGTTTTGACATTTTTGGATAGGAATCAATCTTCACCATTTCCAACCGCATGCATTGGTTTTTTTCCTGGCTCTAGTGGCATTACTCCAACCGTCCATTTTCCTTTTCGCTTAACTAGATCTATCATTTTCTTCCTCATGAACGTGGCATTTAACTTATCACTTGTAGTTTTTCTACAGAAAAATAAAAAGACAATGTCTATATGGGTAACGAAGTGGTCCGTTGCTTTTCCTTTTCCCTTTGTATTTTAAGGATGAAGTGGTATATTTGGTTGGTTTCTGCAAAGTTTCCAAACTCCAAATTTGTGCTTTGAAATCCACATTTTTCTAGTCTAGAAGAAAAAAAGCATTGACCTCAGGATGTTTTAAATTGCATGCTTAACTTTTAATTTCACTTATGACTCCTTTGTGCTAGCTATTGAGTAATCTGATTCTATTACCCCTTACTTAGCTACCTAAGCTAAAAGTTGTTACCTAGAAAATATGCTAAAATGGACGATTGTTCTCAACTCATGCTGATTACATGCTTGAATTATTCTCTTCTCAATTTACTTTAAAAAAAACATGAAAAACACGATATCATTATTAATACTTGCAAAATAGTAATTTTCTTTCTATGAATAACTTACCCTTAGTTAGTTAGCTAAAATTGATATTAAGCTAACCAAGTAACTAAATTAAACGTGATCTCGTTATCAATATAAATTGCAACAATATTATTTCCATCTTCCTAAATATGAATCTCACTTTAATTAATTATGTTTTTGGAAGGTGAAAATTTCTGATCTTAATGGGAAGGTAGTAGGCCTATACTTCTCAGCCAACTGGTACCCACCGTGCCGGAACTTCAACCAAGTGCTAGTAGAAATCTACGAGCAGCTGAAGCAAAGTGGTTCGAATTTTGAGATTGTGTACGTATCATCCGATGAAGACATTGCAGCCTTCAACACCTACTACCACGCGTGCATGCCGTGGCTGGCCATTCCATTTTCAGATTTGGAGACAAAGAAAGCCTTGAACAGAAAGTTCGATATAGAAGGTATTCCTTGCTTAGTTGTTTTACAACCTAATGATAATAAGGACGAGGCAACGTTGTTTGACGGGGTTGAACTCGTTTATCGCTACGGGGTCCAAGTCTTCCCTTTTACTAAAGAAAGGTTGGAGGAATTGCAAAGGGAAGACAGAGAGAGGCATGAGAACCAGAACTTAACCAATTTATTAACGAGCCAACATAGAGACTATCTTTTGGGTCACCCCAGGCCTAAACAGGTATGTCCAAATTAGTTTTTCAATAGTATTAACTAATTTTTTTTTTTAATATCTCAATTGAGGCAGCTCAATTTTGATTCCAGGACTAACACTCTTCTTTTCCGTGTTAATTTCAACACAATGGAAAATTAATAAATATTCATTCCATTGAGGCTATTTATATTTAGTAAATAGAAGAATTATTGTCTAGAATGACCCTATGTGTGCCCAAAGCGTTACCTTCACATAAAATGTGTAGGTATTAGGTCCAACATTCCAAAAACATGGCTTAAAAGGTTTTTGGTTCCATTAATTGAGAGGGAGGAATGAAAAGTTACTTATCAAACTTCGTCACATATGTATCAAATTTCGTCAGTTTGACATATATATATATATATTTTTTTAAATTTGATTGATGTGTTTTTTTAACACATCTAATGTTGATAAACATGCACTATCAATAGAGAACCCTATCCTAGAAAGCTCCTTTAGTAATGGACCGTACGTGAAAGACGCGTGCCCTTCTCTATTTTGCAGGTGCATGTTGCTTCCTTAGTTGGCAAAACAATTGGGCTCTTCTTCTCGGCCGAATGGGGCATCCCATGCGTCAAGTTCATTACCAAGTTGATGTCGAACTACCACAAGATTAAGCAAATGATAGCAGACAAACAAGGTAATAATGGCCACGATGATGAGGACTTTGAGATAGTGTTTGTATCAAGCGACCACGACCAAACATCCTTCGACTTCTACTTCGGTTCCATGCCGTGGCTGGCATTGCCCTTTGGAGATCCAAACATCAAAAACCTCGTCAAGCATTTTGACGTCAAGGGCATTCCCTCTTTGGTAATTTTAGGCCCCGATGGCAAGACCATTACAAGAAATGGCCGAAACCTCATAAACTTGTACCAAGAAAATGCCTACCCTTTCACCGAGGCAAGGATCGATATGTTGGAGAAGCAATTGGAGGAAGAAGCAAAGAGCCTTCCGCGGTCCGTGTACCATTCTGGTCATCGCCACGAACTCAATTTAGTATCGGACGGCAATGGGGGCGGACCTTTTATATGTTGTGACTGTGATGAACAAGGGTCCGCTTGGGCTTACCTTTGTCTTGAGTGTGGCTATGAGGTGCACCCAAAATGTGTGAAAGCCTAGAAAGATTGGTAATTTGAGGGATTTGCTTATGAGAAAATTGGTGCTAATTGTGTTGCCATAGAAAAGGTAATTAATTATCTAGAATCTTTTTTTTTTTCGGTTAAGTTTTAGTTCATTAGTTTGTGTTTTTTGGTGGATCGTGTTTGTATATTGGAATGTTTTCCTAAAACTTTTGGGACTTAATCTATTAAGATTACCTTGGCAGGTGATAATCAGGAAGCTCCATGTGTCGAATCCTTTCTTTTAAGCTCTCGCCCTTGGTTCATTTTTCTTTGTAAGTTGAAACAAAAATACAATAAAGTTGTTTAAAAAAGTCTTAGGAAATTGAATTGTCGTATTACTATATATGTTTCAGCCTCCTCTCCTTAACCAGGAGAGAGAGAGTAGGTCCAATTCGGGTGTTGGATACAAAACTCGAATATTTGCAAGTGAGGTGGTGGATCCACAAAATATCATTGTAACTTTGCTCTCTATTTTTTTTTTTTTTTTTTTTTTTTGGCGTCTATCAAAAAGCACACAGTTCTGGACCGTGCTTCATGCTTGGTTTTCTGTCTTCTCACATATGGAAATGCAGAGTTAGTAGAGAACAACCAGGTGATAACTAGCATTACTTGGGAGGAAAAGGAAAAGGAGAGCTTTGAGAACTGAGTGGCTTGAAACTGTGTTTCTTATTTCGCTTTTGCCAATGATGCAATACGAACTTTGGCTTCTCTATTTTTTCTTGTAATATTTAAAATGAATGGTAAAAAAAGGTTTGAATGTTGTTGGAGATTTTATTTGTTTTGTTAATTCTGTAATAATTAATCTGGTTATCGTTTCATAAGCAATAATTTTTTTGGAACTAATTTGAGTTATGGGATTTTTTTTTTTTAAAAAGAAGTTAATTTTATTCACCGGATGTTTTCATTGTGTACTTTTATCCGTAATTATTGTCGTTAATTTTGATCAATTATAAATTTACATGTTGCTGGGATCGTAAATTTGACAGATATGGCATAGTTAAGGTAGCGAACATGGCAACCCCTTAAGGGCTGATGGTGTTGTCGATCTATTCAAAAACGCTGCAGACTCGACAAGGATGAATGTTACGCCGTCTCTGTCTCCAACAATATGGACGGTTGGGCTTAAAGAAACTCGGAAATATCTCCTAGGACCCCATTTGTTTGATACAACCATCACTCTAAACGTGACCTGAGGAAGACGAAAACAACCTAGAGAAAAGAGCCACTGGAAATCAAAGAACGGATCATAAATAAATCAAACAGCTGACTGGCTCTGGAGGGCATGCCTTTATGTTCTGACAGACGCTCCACTTAATTCCTTCTCAGTTTGGGGTTCTTGATGATCTTTTGTGGTGAGGCTCAAAGACTCTAAAAGAAGTGTGGAATGGGGGCCAAAAAAACCAAATTCAGCTAATGAAGCTGCTTCCCAATGATTGAAAATCTCTAGGAATTATTTGGCTTAGCAAAGCAATGTCGACCTACTGTCTCTTGGACAACACTTGACTTCGGCCAGTGGCTTGCCTATTTCTGGGAACTTTGAATTTTACTCCGTGCGAGGTTTAGAAGGCCGCCAGAGACAGATCCATAAGGTGGAGTGGCTTGTCCTAACCACAGGGCGGGCAAAATCCTTTGTCCTTTGGTAGGCGGTCAACTTCTTGGGTGGGGGACAAACAGGGAAATTTATTTAGAAAAGTAAAATAAAATGAAATAAAATTAATAGCATAAATATTTAAAAGGATCAGTGTTGAGGTCTGGTAGATTCGGTGAGTACGACGTGTTAAGGGTATACATGTTCAAGTATCCGATTCAGTAGTATCGGTGCTAATGTAGACGAAACACATAGCGTTTACAGAGGGGCTTGTACGGTAGGACCTCCAACGAAGATAGGGGATTGGCTAGCCTAAAGTAAGCCGAAAAAATGGATTCTAGGGCCCACTTTGTCGCCACCTTACCAAGACGCCAACTTACGCACATGGGAGGGCTTCAGATTCAATCATGGAAATCGCATGGACAAAGTATGGTGGGAGGAGTAAAAGAACGATTGATGGAGATTTGACTCGGAGAGTGTGGATAAAGCTTATTTAGAAAAGTGCTCCGCGGACGAGCGCGGGTTGCCTCTGGAGCGAGAATATGACTCGTAAGGTGTGGTTAAAGCTATTTATAGGAGTGCTCCGAGAACAAGCGCAAGTTGCCTCCGGAGCAGATTTATAACTCGATTGGTATGGATAAGGCTATTTGGGAGAGTTGGTGAATTCTCACTCCGGAGGAATGCAGGTAGTTCCGTGAGTAAGTTTTACGGACTTTCAACAGAGAAGGCAAAGTCCACTTCAGAGGAACACAGGTTGCTCCGAGAGTAGATGTCAACAGATGAAGTTTTACAACTTTCCGGAAGTGTGCTCTTGAGCGACGGAGTCTGGCCACGGAGGCAGATTTTCAGACTTCCGGAGAAATCTCAAAAACTTCATATATAGCTTGTAGACGAGTTTGGATGGATCAAATGAAGTGTTTGAAGGTTTTTTGGGATGAAAACTAAGATATGGATAGAGTTTCAGAACTCGCTCGAAGGTCTTCAAGCCCGAAAGCACAAGCTCGAAGAACTTAAGAGTTGAACTCTCAGAAGAAAATCACTCAGAGTTTTGGTAAGGAAGAGATCTTCTCAGATGGTCAAGTATAAGAATAGTCTGAGTGTTGTTATGAAGTGTTGGTGAAAGGGGTATTTATAGGAGGAGATTAGGAAATTTTGGCGGTTTCTCCGGAGCCGTACAATCATGTCTTGCCAGAGGCTTGTACGAACCATTTTTCCTCTGGAACACCTGCATCAGGTGGCTTTCCTCTCCGACGAACAAATGGGCCGAAAATGGGTATGTTTAGAGACGGAATGCATAATTCTTGCTGACATTGGACCTTTCCCAGGTCTGGAGATCATAGAATGTTTGACTGAATTTGGTTCTCCGGAGACGTTTCTATTTCCGGAGCTCTTAACACACGCAAGACCAGCTCCAGAATGCTACCTTCTGGTTTTGGCTAAATAGCCGAAGTTGGAGCACTTGACATATTCAATCTCGATAGAGCACGTGAAGAACCTTCGGACACATGGGAGTTTCTCGGAGCATATGAGGTATCTTTGGTCAAAGAGGAGTTTCTTGGAGCATGGGAAGTATCTCTGTTGTGGCATCTGAGGTGATGCCTCCAGCGCAATGACTGCTAGTGATCGTCGACCTCTCTCGCCATCAGTTTCTCTATTCCCGTCAGAAATCCCCTTATCGAAACTCTGTTGCAGATTGAGGACAATAGTGAAGTCGTTATTGATCTCCATTGCAGATCGACTTTATCTTCTCTGGCCTAACGAGATATGAGATCTGCACCAGCCACCTTCTTCTTCGGTGGAGTTCGATAGCAAACACAAGGCCAGAGGGAGCTTTTGTGCTCGTGACTGACCTGGAAACTAGTCACGACGTTGGTGACAGTTGGTAACGGCAACCCCTTGCTAGCACGGTGAGGACAATGAACCTATTTCGTTCACAAATAAGACAATTACGTGGGGCTATAGTTGGAAATCTAAAAATCAGTTTAAAAATATGTTATTAATTTTATTTTTGAAACTCTTGTGTTTTTACCTATTTTACTTCATGGAATGATGTTGGTGAGAAGAAACAAGGGCAGCGGTTGCAGTATCGGCTGTGAAGCGACGACGATTGAAGAAGAGCAAGAAAGAAGTTAGTTTTGCTATGTGATGTGGTAAATGTAAAATTTACCTTGTTACCAACTAATAAATTCTATTTAATTAGATAAAATGTAAATGAAGGATTTACGTGGTAAATTGTGGATTTAATAGTCAAACAAAGGCTTTAATGTTTTAAGTAGTAAGTTAATTTATGGTAAATTTATGATTTACATATTAAATCTATTAATTACTAAAATACACGAATTAAGTTTGTCCGTAAATGAGAGATTTATCACGTAAATAGAATAAATATCATATAAAAATAAGCGTAAAATTAGAATACTTATTGATTGGTAAATGATGCATTTATCGAGTAAATTCGTCATTTACCGTAAATAATGAATTTACCTGGTAAATCCTTCATTTACCAGGGGTGTATAGGCAAATTTTTTTAAAATTTAAATTAAATTGTAATTTTTTAAAAATTGAGGGGTTTAGTAGCCAAACAGAGGCTTTAATGTTGTAATCATAAGTTAATTTATGGTAAATTGATGATTTACCTGATAAATCTATTATTTACTAAAATACATAGATTGGGTTAGTCTGCTAAATAAAAGTTTTACCAGGTAAATATAACATTTACCATATAAATATAAGCGTTAAATTGAAATATGTATTGGTTGGTAAATGATGCATTTATCAAATAAATACGTCATTTACTGTAAATGATGGATTTACTTGGTAATAGTATGGAGAGAGAAGTACATAAAGAGTATGGAAAGAGAAGGACCAAAAAAACGGCCAAAAAAAAAAAGAAAGAAAAAGGAATGGAAAGGGTGGAGGGGTAAATTCAGAAAAACAAATACTTAAAATACTATCTGATTCTAAGAATGCTATAAATTTAACATTTTTAAAAAATAAGTTATAAACTTCTAATATGGTTTCAAAATATGCTATATGCTGCATTTTCTAATTTTGAAACCCTTGAGTAAGTTCAAAACCAATTTTGGCTATAAGTGAGTGGGCCCATTCCATTTGTCATGTCCCATCAAAACATAACCCATGACCTATATATCACCTTATAGAGACGAACAATTATATCAAAATACAATTAAATACTTTATTCTTTTTTGGTCAACTGGCTTTAACTATCGATTATATGAATTTGTCAAATAAGTTTTTATCGCGCTTAATTATTAATGTGTCAAGTAAGTATTTTTTTATTAGATTTTGCATACTTGTGTTTATTTTTGTGTCTCATTTATTTTACTAGTGGATTCAGTTTTTATTCGTAATTAACGTCAGATATGCTTCTATTTGGTGGTCATTTGCTATTACATTAGTGTATGTATGGATGTAATTCTGATTGGTAATTTTTATTAAATTTTGTTTGGTATCTCATATTTAAATTTTAATTATGACGCGATTCACTTGTGATTTTATAGAAACCTAAATAGAAATTATGGGCATTGTTTTTTGCTCAGTAGTGTTATTTATTGACATGTTCCGAATGTTTTGGGCCATGTCGTGGCCTTTAGTACAAAGGGTGGAATATTGGTCCGTTATCTCTGACTTCAGCCCTATTTCATGTCGTCGGCCTATTGGACTGTTTGTATGGCGAATAAATCAGACAAAACGAAACGGTCACATAGGAAACAAAGGCCTTTAAATCCTAAAGAGAAAAAGAATGATGCTCAGGACCATCCAATGGGAAAAGCAAAGCACAAAATAAAGCAATACTTTCTAGTTTCTCCCCCTATAATATTACTACCAACCCCTCCAAAAGAAACCCCACACAAACCCAAATCCAAAACAACAGCTCTTCCACCTGAAAAAAGAACCCACAGATAATCACAATTATCATTCCATCATCTTCTTTGAAAGTAGTTCCAAAATGGGTCTCTGCTTCTCGAAATGGTCGAAATCACACGACATCCCAATCCTATCATCCTCCGAAAACTCCCCTCGTACCAACAACTACCAACAAATCCCCAAGAAGAAGCCCCAAGAGCCATGGAACCCAACAGCTTCTTCGTCCAAACCGAAGTTACCTTCATCTATTTCATCCTCGTCGACTTCTCAGTCGACTGGGATAGGTCCCATCTTGCGCAAGCCCTACGTCGACATAAAGTTGATTTACGACATCGAAAAGGAGCTGGGGAGAGGTCAGTTTGGGATCACCTATCTCTGCACGGAAAAGGCGACGGGAAGAAAATACGCCTGCAAATCCATCGCCAGAGGAAAGCTGGCGACGGAGAAGGACATCCAAGACGTTAGGAGAGAAGTGAGCATTTTGCAGCACTTGACGGGCCAGCCGAATATTGTGGAATTCAGAGGGGCTTACGAGGACAGGCAGAATCTGCATTTGGTCATGGAGTTGTGCTCCGGAGGCGAGCTTTTTGACCGGATTATAGCCAAAGTATACTATTCTGAGCGTGAAGCGGCTAGGATTTTCAGACAGATTGTTAATGTTGTTCATGTTTGTCATTTCATGGGTGTAATGCATAGGGACTTGAAGCCTGAGAATTTCTTGCTTGTCAGCAAAGATGAGGATTCGCCTCTCAAAGCCACCGATTTTGGCCTCTCTGTCTTCATTGAGCAAGGTCAGTACTCTTCTTCTTCTCTCTCTCTCTCTCTGATCTGTGTGTGTGTTTTTTTTTTTTTTTCTTAATATTAGTTATTAGTATTGTTAATTGTTTTTTTAGGGGTGTGAGAGTTTGGTTCTTGAATTTTTTGAGTCGATTAATCCATTAATCTCATTTGTTTGGCAGTTTTAATCATAGAATTTAACGAGGATAATCGCATGTTAGTTCTTAGTAAAGTTGGGTTCTTATTGATAGATTGCGAAGATAGTTTAAAATTATATGCGATTAGTATGAGATTGAAAGGGACTTTGTTTATCAATTATCTAGAGGATAGCTATGTACCTATCATCAGTATTAAAGATTTAGGGCCCGTTGGTTTTTTATACTTAAAATTAAATCATTAATTCTGCTGCCGTAATTTTCCGTAATAAAAAACTTGAATTTCAAACACGAACTATAATTTAAGTATACATTGGTTCTTATTGATGGAGATACCGCTATGGGGTCAAGTTAAAAGTCGACCTGAGTCAATGACGAAAATGACTGGTCAACCAAGTCAACGATTTTTGATAAGAAGACAGAATGAAAAAAAAGGCCTATAATTTGGCCCATCACGTCATGACAGTAACACCACTAAAGTCCCAGTAAACACGTTTTTAGTTAATAGAATGGACGCACCTAAGTACCCTCTGAAAGTTCGCCTGGGCCACGATAATAGAAGATTTGCCAGGACCACAATGGCACGGGATATATATCTATATATAATTGATAAAACATACCGAAAAGAACACACAAAACCATCCACTTATGGTAAATGATCTTACAAACATCATGATTTTGCTACAAGCTATTGAGCACAAAATGGTCCTCTGTTCTGTACCTGAGTGTATCTGTGTCGTTAGAACTTGCTAATTATTCCACATTTCGACTCAACGTGGTCAGAGAGTATAAGCTTCCATTTTCCAAGATGTGTATATTTTCTTTACTTCTAGAGGAACTCAACTTGGCTCCTACAAAATTTGATTAACTAGTTCCAAAAATTTGATAGTGTAATATTCAATTGATTTTAGTTAAAAAGAAAAAACAGCTAAATAACAGGAATTGTAAACTAACTTTGTAGCTACGCTTAAAGTATCTAATTTGGCAGTAAGAGTTTAAATATATTATTCTCCACATAAATAGCCATTGGCTCTTTGTTAAACAATATTTCAGTAATAGGCAATTCAAGTATTTTACTAGAAATGCAAGGCATTTGTTTCTGATCAATTATGTAAAAAAGATGCTCTTGAAATATTAGTTATTATATGTGGGACTCAATTGCTTCACATGATTATTGAGGCAAATTCCTCGTATTCAATTCTCCAGGAAAAGTGTACAGGGACATTGTGGGAAGTGCCTATTATGTGGCCCCAGAAGTGTTGCGGAGGAATTATGGAAAGGAGATGGATGTGTGGAGTGCTGGAGTCATTTTATACATACTTCTCAGTGGTGTGCCTCCATTCTGGGGCGGTAGTTTTCTCTTCCCTATCTTCTTAATTAGTTTACACATGTTTGTCCTAGTGATAAGTGTTTTATAAATATTTTTCTGACATTTAAGTATTGTTGCTTTATAGAGTAATGCAAGCATAAACTACTGTGGATTAACCGGGTTAGAAGTTATGCCTTTAGCATTTTGTCGAACAGAAATGTATTTAGATTGTTATGGAGCTGCAACATCTTGGTGCATGCTTCAGACTTCATTTGGTTGGGCTATCAATTTTGCTTACCTATATATCATGTGTCTTGGCATTATTTTTGATGTTATTACATGGTAGTGATGTGTGGATAAACAATTGTGTTAGAAACGGAGAATGCGATATTCGAAGCTGTTTTACTAGCCAAGCTTGACTTGCAAAGCGCTCCATGGCCTTCCATATCTGCTCCTGCCAAGGATCTCATCAAGAAAATGTTGACTGTGGACCCTAAGAAGAGGATTACAGCTGCGGAAGCCCTTGGTAAGTTCATAGTTGTTTGTCCAAATTATTTGCATCAGTTTCTATTTCTTTTCCAAAAGAATAGTTTTCAGGTAGCTTTATCCAGAACTGATCTTCAAATCCTTCACCGAGCATCGCGAGATATTTTTTCTATACCAAACTGGGGTTGTGTCATCATACCAGATCCAAGTATTCAATACAACAAATCTAGGATTCACCCTTGAAATGAATTGGTTTTATACATAATTCGTTGTCTGTTAATTTCTTTTGCATTATGTATTTTGACCAGAGCATCCATGGCTGAAAGAAGAAGTATCAGATAAGCCTATTGACAGTGCTGTTCTAAGTAGGATAAGACAGTTCAGGGCAATGAACAAAATGAAGAAACTTGCTCTCAAGGTATGAGTATTTTTCCATTACTTTTTACTATTTTGCTCTTTTTGGCTTTCGTTTTTCCTTTTGGTTTTGTTTCCAAACCTTAGTACTTGTCCTGGAAAGGGGAAACAGAAGAGTTCTTTATTTTCTCATCCATTCAATTATTTACTTCCAAACTCAAGAATGCTAATTTGGTGCTGCCTACATGATAAGGGAGAATGAAAAAAGGAACTCCAATCCCCCAACCTACCTCAAAAGTTTGTTTCCATTGAAAGGAAATAAACTAGAATATTTCCTAAAAGAGAAAAGAAATAAACCATAATATTACATTTGTACACCCCTGACTAATTTTTAGTCAATAATTATATCACAAGAACATGTTAGTAATACAAGATTCCTATTATTTTAAAGTAAATACTAAAACAGGAAAGACAATTCGATTATTTCCAATTTCACTTTCTTGTAGGGAAGTAAACACGTGCATTATAATTTAGCAAACATGCCCTAAAATTTGAATTTGCTATAAGGTAATGGCAGAGAACCTTTCAGAAGAAGAAATCCATGGGTTGAAGCAAATGTTCAACAACATGGACACAGATGGAAGTGGCACAATCACATTTGAAGAACTGAAAACTGGGTTGTCCAAGCTTGGATCCAAACTCTCTGAAGCAGAAATACGGCAGCTGATGGAAGCTGTGAGTACTAATACTACTATTACTACAAAATCACTCTCATCATAACAAGATAAACTAACACTTCATATTTATCCTTTTTTGCATTCTATTTTCCAAAGAGATGGGTCTTTTGTTTACAAATCTGAAGAAAAATAAACAAAAACAAGTAAATATTACCTAAATTTCTTTCTTTCCTCCTCTCAGGCCGACGTTGATCATAATGGGTCTATCGATTATATTGAATTCATTACTGCCACCATGCATCGCCATAGGCTTGAGAGAGACGAAAACTTGTTCAAGGCATTCCAATACTTCGACAAGGATGGCAGCGGGTTAGTCATTAGTGTGTTTTCAAGCGAATCAGAATCATTTTTTTAGTTACATTTTTTTAGTTGTCTTTGTTTTATTTTGTTTTTTTTTTTACCAGGTTTATCACAAGGGAGGAGCTAAGACAAGCTATGACTCAACATGGTATGGGGGACGAAGCCACTATAGATGAGATCATTAACGACGTAGATACTGATAAAGTAATTATTTCTCTTCAACGCTTACCACTTTTTTAAGATATAAAGTAATTGTCCTAATTTTTATTTTGTGACCTCTTATGTAGGACGGAAGGATCAATTACGAGGAGTTTGTGGCTATGATGAGAAAAGGAACGCAAGATTATGATTATTAACAGAGATAAATCAATCTTTTATATCCCATGTAAATAAGTCAACGTCTGTAAGCTATCAGCGTCTTTGCCCACCTTGTTTCTCTTATATATCTTATATTCTTCTTTTTTTTTTTTCCTCGAATAAGTTTCTCGCCTGTTCTTGGGAGATCCATTTAAAATGTGGATGCTGTATCATTATGCAGGCGGTTCCAATGTATGAAAATTACGTATGCTGTTGCAAGTGTCGATATATGAATAATATTTTTATATATAAATAACAGTTTTAATAAATTTAACTAAAGTCAATTACGTTTTTCTCAAAAAAAAAAAAAAAAAACCATTTTTCGATTATATATTAGTGTTTGTTTAGGAATAATATTATTGATTTTTTATGGGGAAATACTCTTAAGAATTTTTTAGAGTCATGTGACTCGTGTCTGTTAGAGCGCCTTTTTTCCCCTGGAAAGTTAAGGAGCAATTTTTAACTTCTATGAAGTATAATTTACATAATTTGATTGATATTATTCACAGGGGCCGCTAAATTTTCGAATTATGAGCGACAACTCACTTTTGATTCTAAACGACACGATTCACCTATAAACGACATCAAATTCTCACAATGCTAAACTAGTATCTAATGCAAGATTATTTTTATGCTAAATTTGATATATGCAATACTTAGTTGTAAATTTTTTACTAAGTATATCATATGCTAAATTTTAATTTTTGATTGATATTGGTTGATATGCATACATTTTTATTTTATTATTAGAGCATTTTTAGGGGTAATTATTACAACTTTGACATTTTCAAATTATTTTAAAATTAAAAGTTCATTTTTATAATTTTTAAAGCTTAAAGATTATGACTAAAAAGTAAATTTCAAGTATAAATAAAAATAATATTAATATTATTAAATATGTTATTTTTTAAATTGTTTTTACCAAATATGTGATCTAATAGAAAACGACAGCAAACCTTAAAACACAAATGACAATGGTTTAGTTTGATATTGCTTTTCCATCCCAAAATCAGCTTTTGCTTGTAGTAGAAGCTGATTTTAGTGTTTGGTAAATCTTCTTAAAAATGCTTTTTAAAGAATTTTTAAAGAATCTACAGTCAAAATTAGAAGCAGCCTAAAGACAACTTTACCTTTTAGATTGTGCATGAATCATCCTAATACAATTAATGAAACTTTCATAATACCCATAATACTCTTAATGAAATTTAAAATTTAAAATTTTTCCAATTTAAAATTCAGACTCGTAATATATTATAATATAATATAATATAATATAATAGTAATATTGTAACAAATAATATCATAAATATATTAATAATTCTAATATTATTATTTTATCCAATAATATGATATTATTATAATATTAAAATTATTTTAATAATATGATATTGTAATTATTATTTTATAATATATTATATATTATATTGTATCTATATACTTATATTTATTATATTAATAATAATATAATAATTAATATAATTAAATATAATAATAAATATA